TTGAACCCACGAACCGTGAGATCATGACCTGAGCCGAAGTCAGTGCTTAACTGAGCCACACAGACGCCCCAGAAAAATTCAGACCTGACACTTATCTTTTGCTGCCATCTCTATGCATATATCTGAACTTGTTGAAAATGTGTCAGAGATTTGAAAGAACGAAGTTCTCCAGAACTGTTAAAAATCCAGGTATGCACATACATGCATAAAAAAAAAAAAATCACACATGGGAATAAGTACACCATTACAGCATACCTGCTCGGTGCTCAATAACTGTCAAGTTAATTCAGGTCAACCTGCTGGGTAGCTGTTCTTGTCACAGTTTGAGTCAATGCAAGTTACAGTGTAACTTTCTCTCTGCTATAAAGCGTTGCGGCACCTTGCTATTCCAAGCGTGGTTCAGGGACTGGTGGCAACAGCGTTATGTGGGAGCCTGCCGGATACACAGAACCCCAGGGCCACCCCCCTGCACCTGCTGAAGTTAACGGCGCTTCTCAAGGCTTAACGTGCCTTTAAATCACAAGGCACTCTTAAAGTTCCAATTCTGATCTCGCAGGTGTCGAGGGTGACCTGAGAGTCTACGTAACACTGTCTCCCAGGTGGTGCTCCTTGCCGCTGAATGGAGAACCCCACTGTGGGCAGCAAGGCGCGACACGTGCGGTAAGTCAGGGCGGGTTTTGTCCGACTGTTATAATCAAGAATAGATATGTGATTAGATGTTAAATCTTGTCAGTTACACTTTGAAATAAAAAATTTCCTGCTTCTCTTTCAAGCTTTGGGGCTTAATGAAAGAATATCCTGAGATTTCAGGATACACTGTGTAAAAACAAACAAAAAAAACCCACAAAAAGTTAATGTTTGCAAGTGCATCTCTGTGTGATTTATTGTTACCTAGCTACTGTAAACCAAAACAAAATACCGAAACAGGGGCACCTGGGTTGTTCAGTTGGTTAAGTGTCTGACTTCGGCTCAGGTCAGGATCTCACGGTTCGTGGGGTTCAAGCTCCGCGTCGGGCTCTGTGCTGACCGCTCAGAGCCCAGACCCTGCTTCGGATTCCGTGTCTCCCTGTCTCTGTGCCCCTCCCCAACTCGCGCTCTCTCAAAAATGAATAAACGTTAAAAATAAATTTAAAATTAAAAAAAATACCGAAACAAAGAGGATATGACTACAAGCATTATTCAGAACCCCAGCTTCACAATCTTGTGTTCATTCAACAGGTCCTTTATTACTGAATGACTTCATAAGTAATTGTTTGAATTTATAAACGGTTAGCTATTTAAAAACGAACAACAACAAAAAAAACAACACTGTGTTGTTGGGAACAGCAACCAGCTACTACTACTGTGGATACCTTTTCTTTTCATTCATTCATTCAGCATGTATTTATTGAGCTAATTCTACGTATGGACCCAGTACTCTTTCAGGTACTAAGGAGATACTCAGGACGCACAGTCTTAATGCAGCTGACATTCTAAAACATTTCAGTTTTCACACTACTCTTAGACAAGATGCAGACAGGGAAATAGACTAATAAAGCAAAGTACACTCCTGCTGTTTCAACAACAATACCCAATGGTAGACTCAATATTCCAAAACACCTGGATGGAATTTAATGGAATCAAAGTTAATTGGTAAAAATTAAATATGATGTTCAAGCTGAATAAGCTAGAGCAGGAACAGGGAATAACTGACAGGAAGGCAGAAAAGCATAACAGAATTAGACCACAGAGTCTGCCTAGGTTCAAATCCCAGCTGCACCACTGACTAGCTGTGACACCTGGCAACTTACTTTCAGCCCCCCACCCCATGCCTCAGTTTCCTCAACTGTAAAATTAAATCACAATGGCACTTAAATTAAAAACTAACTCATTTCACTCTAGAGTTTGAACTTGTAGCAATCTGTTCATAGCTTTTGTGTAAAGAAGAGACTTCCCTATCTCTACAGGAGTTCAAGCAAAGTCTGAGTAACATTCAGGTAAAGGTATTATAAAGAAAATTTCCATCTGGGGTAAGAAAGTTGGACTTGCTTCCAGACCCTGAAACAACCTTTCCCATTATTTCACTAAAATACCCAAGTCCCCAATCCAATAAATATACAGAAGCTAGGACAGAGACAGGTTAGCAATCCATGGGGATGCACTCAACAAAATTTATATTGTGGGAAACTCTACTGCCCACTTTCTTCAATAAATAAATAAATAAATAAATAAATAAGGGAAAAAAAGAGAGAGACAATAGCAGAAGGAACCTAGCTATGAAAAGAATCATAAAAACGTATCAACCAATAACAACAGATAGGCTTTATTTTGGTTCCTGAGTCACATAAACTAAGACAATCAGAAATGTGAACACTCAGTGGTTATTTTATAATGTTAAAAATGATTTTCTAGGGGTGCCT